TCCTTTTTTTTTTTAGCAGCTCATCAAGAAATTTGTTAAATTTTTTATTGCTTGATTTTTAAGTAAGTACTCCATTTATTTTTTATACCTTCATTTATTTGTCATACGAAGCCAAACAACATGAGTAAATTTATGGACAAGCTCAAACAAACATATATAGTTGTATTGATGTCTGATTATATACATATATATTGATAATTGATCTCTTTGACAGGTGGAAAATGGCGATCAATTGGAAACCATTACCGTCTCGCCGGGCATGCATCAGATGATGATACAGGGCGGTCCCGGCCAGGAGCCGCAGCTGGTGCAGGTGGTCAGCCTGAAGGATGCGACGCTGCTGAGCAAGGCCATGGAGGCGATCAATTCGGGCAATGTCAAGGCTGAGGATACAATCATAATGGAGCAATAGATAAATTTGGCATCGAGATTGATCATGCATGTAAATGCTTGAACCATACACTAATACATTCATTTTTTTTTTTAATATATATGATTACACGTATATATATTTATGTGTACTATGTATTTATAGTTACTCGAATGTTTATTTATATTCATATGACGCATAAACGAAAATATTTTAGAAGTACCTGAAAGGTGTTGCTAAAACAAATAAGTCAACAAAAAGCAATTCTCATTTGATAATTCGTTACATTTGCCATTGTTTCTTCTTTTTATCGATCTGCAATTAAAAATTTATCGATTCTAGTCATCAAGTATTTAAACTTTTATTGTAACAATTCATTTATTTCGTTTTATTTTTTACTGTACAAACAGTTGAAAATGTCTTCGCATAGTGTAATAATTGAAGATTGCGTTAACTTTAATCAATTTTTTTTTGTCAACTCACTTAGTTCATAATGCGAAAAATAAAATCGAAAATAGTTAAATTCAAATTAATGGAGGAAACTCCAAGTTCTAAATAAAGCGTTTTTTGCGAGCCATTAGCAAAGGGCGGCGCACTTAATGTACTCATATACCTATACATAAATATTCATATATATATTTACTGTATGTATATAATGAATATATATAAATATTTATATTATGCATCTATATAAGAATTATGCCGAGTTACTTGTACGTATGTTATGGGCTTTACTAAAAATCAATTCTCATTTGCGTCTATGCATTAACTAGTCATAAAGTTAAATTAAAACGAAACAAAACAATTTATATTAAACTAAAAACAAAACACAATTGTAATTCATCTTAGGCCAAAAAGAAAGAAAAAAAAAACTCAGATAAACCCAATGCAATGTAAACAAGAAGCATCACTTTAAATTTAATTATTAA